AACTTGTCTCACACTTTACAATACTGTAAGAAATACTTAACAAGTAAGTGATGAAAAAAAAACTGAAATTCATCATCAACAGATTTAATCTATTAGTTTCTTAGAGCTTTAATGTCTGTTTATTTCTAACAGGTACATTTTATGTTTAAGTTCTTTACTAAATATCAATCAGTTTTTAGGAGAATTTGGATGTAAATGTTAAAACTTTAGAAGAAATCTGTTGATAAACATTAAAATATCAGAGGATAATTATTAAATGTTGATGTCATAATTTAGACAAACAGGTTTGGATTCCTGATGAGAAAATGTTCATTTGAGTCCAAAGACTTTAGACCAGAATAACTGATCCTCTGTGGATAAATGGTGTGAACTCAGCTTCTGTTTGCATGTGGAGGATTTTAAAACGAGTGTTTATTAAATGAATGTTTATTAAATGAATGTTTATTAAATGAATGTTTATCATCAGCCCCTCCCAGCTGTAATAACCGTTGGCGGTTTCAGGCATGGCGGCTCTGGACAGCAAGGCGTCAGGAAAGATGGGGATGCGCGCGGTGATTTACTACATGACCACCACCATCATCGCCGTCTTCATCGGGATCATCATCGTCCTCATCATCCATCCAGGAAGAGGCTCCAAGGACGAGTTTGGGAAGCAGCAGACCATCGAGCAGGTCAGCCCCGCCGACGCCTTCCTGGACCTCATCAGGTGATTTCAGACTCAAACGTCCCAAAGTTCAACCAGCCGGCGAGTCGCAGCTAAACGCTTTCTATGGTCTCGTTTCAGAAACATGTTCCCTCCAAACCTGGTCCAGGCCTGCACACAGCAGGTCAGTGATTCAGATGAAGCAGCCGAAACGTTTCACCTCGTTTTCATCAGCACCTCTTACAACCTGCAGGGCTTCACTACAGAACGTTACAGAAAATGTTTTATTTAGGCAGCTTTAATTTTTAATAACGATGAATCATTAAGGCAGAAAAAGTTTCATAAACTCAAAATAAACACAGAGAACATTTAAGGTTCAATTTGTTCTTGTTTTATGATCTGAATCTGGTGAAAATGTCAAACAGGAATCAGTCTGACGACAGGAACAAGGTTTTATCTCAACATGGTGATTCCCATGGAAACGGCCAAATGAAAGATGACATGCAGGGTCGTGCAGAGGCCACTAGTGATGGGTCCAGCAACACCAACGCGCCGGCGCATCTATCCAG